GTGTTATCTAAACATAGAAAAGGTACAGTCAAAATACGGAATAATCTCATGGGACCACTGTTGTATATGCAGTCTGTCGTAGACCGAAACATTGTTATGTGGTGCATGACTGTACAGGGGGAAAAAAGCAACATGTATCAGATCATTGGAAACTGGAGTTGATGGAGAAAATGCAAATGAAAAAGTCCCTGGAGGATGAAGAGCAGACACAGTTGGGAAAGTTAACATGAAGGAAGGCAAACAATGTCTCTACTTGCTGAGTAAGAATGGCTTTTTGGAAATTCTTCATCGTTGTTAAAATGCCATGGTATTTCATTGCCCAGGACACAGAAGCCAGTTAGGGAGAAGCTGGTGGAATATTATTAAATGTATTTAAACGTGACAAGGTTTCACTTAGCTTCCAATTACTAGTAGACTTCAGAGGGCAGGAAGGTTGCCAGCTCATTCATCTGATCATTACTTATCTTGACCAAAAGCCCATGAGAATATATACTGAAAGAATAAAGCTTTCATTACCATTTAATGTTTTTCCTTAAAGCCTCATTTTAATACTATGAAATCAGATTTCAGAGAATGTCATAATTAAGATTTTCATAAAAAGAAACATTTAATACTATTTAAATATATAATGACTCCCAGTGCTACCTGAATTCATTCACATCATAAACCAACTAAAATGGGCTTTAATCTCTACCATGACCATACTGTCTTTACTTAACCTTAATATACAACACTATCAAGACCAATTTATGAGTCACATTAAAATAATTATCATTGTTTTATTATAATCTCACCTTATTAACTGGAAATGTTAATCTGGTTAATCATCTACCATATTCACCAGTCTGGCCTCTGAGTAATTGGCAGCTCTTTTTAAAAACCAAATTTATTCTGGAAAGATGAATATTTGCCAACTTAAGGACATTTTAAAGAACGCGCTAGAGATTCCAACGGCCACAGAGGAGTTCCAGCAATGTTTTAAGCATTTTGGGAATAACCGTAGTCGTCCAAGGTGACTACTTTGATGGGAAAACCACTTACGTGGATAGGTTTTTATATATTCACTGTGAGAGTCGTCAGATTACTGTGTAGTCACAAGTCATATTGATTCTTGACTAAAACTGCTCATTTGGCAAATAAAGTGTGAAATTTATGTTTCGATAGAAAAATAGTTCTATCATGAAGGAGAATGACTTGGCAAATCTTTCTGGCTTACACGTAGCTGCTCTCAGGAATTCTCCCAAGGAACCTGCTTTCTGGGGGTTCTTAGGATTGGTTTTCAGCTCCCATTCAGATAAGAGAAACAGAAGTCATAGGTATTGAGTTCAAACTATATGTCAGAATTTCCCTAAATAATATCTTCCTCCTTACAGCAACCCTGTAAGGCTGTGGTCCCCAACCCCCCAGGTCCATGGCCTCTTAGGGACCTGGCTGCAGAGCTCTGCCATAGCCCCCATGCCCCTGTCCATGGAAAAATTGTCTTCCACGAAACTTAGGAACTGGGGGTGCTGCACAGTAGGAGGTGAGTGGCGGTTGAGCGAGCGTCTTTACAGCCGCTCCCCATCGCTTGCCATCACTGCTTGAGCTCCGCCAACCCAGCCCGCTGTGGGAAAATTGTCTTCCGTGAAACTGGTCCCTGGTGCCAAAAAGGACTGCTGCTGTAAGGCATGTATTATCCCCATTTTACAGATGAATAAACTGGGTTTCAGGAAGGTTAGTGTGGTTGCTAGGTGACACCTTATCATAAGTGGTTGGAAACTTAGACTTTAATTCATATCTGACTCCAAAGGCTTGGTCAACTAACTCCTCACACACCACCATGCAGCCTTCCTAGTCCAACAGATCTTAGCACACACATTTACAAACATTCTCAGCTCTGTGGAGGCCTCTGATTTTCCTTCACAGGCATCCCTGACACCACCTTCCAGGTATCTGTCCCAGAAAAGTCCATGAGCACTCTGCACTGGGCAGAGAGACAGGTGAACCCCTACTGAAGTGTTAATTTCTGGGCAAGAGGGTTCGCCCACCAGGCAGATCCCTTTCTCATACCCCCCAGCCCTGCCAAAACCTGGAACCTGTCAATGTTACGTGGCGGAGTTGGGGAGGGGGAAATGAAAGCTGTAGATAGAATTAGGTTGCTAACTAGGTAACCTTAATCTAAAGAGAAGGACCTTTCAATGTGGAAGAGGGAGGCAGAGTAATGAAATGTGAGAAAGACACGACTGGCCCCTTGCAAGGGGGACACAAGCCAAGGAATGTGGGCAGTCCCTAGAAGCTGAGAAAGGCAGAACCAGATTCTCTCCTAGAGCTTTCAGGAAGGAACACAGCTGGCCAACACTTTGAGATCCCTTTTGGACTCCTGACCTGCCAAACTATAAGATGAATTTGTGTTGTTTTAAGTTACTATGTTTGTGGTAATCTGGTACAGCAGCAGCAGGAAACTAATAGGAAGGCCAACCTCAGTACCGGGAAAGCTGGCTGGCCTGTCCCCAACCCTAGAGCTCGTGGTGGGAAGTAGCCAATATCAACCCAAGTGTTAGCAGAGCACTGGGGCCAAGATCCAGAGGTCCTAGCACTGCTGAAGAGGTGGCCGGAAGAGAGGACTTGAAGGAAGCACAGCTGTTCGGCCACAGATGTGAAGGGACCCATGGATTGGGCTCTCGCTCCAGTCTGCTACTTACCGGCTGTGCGGCCTTCCACAGGGCACTCAACCTTTCTGAAGTCTGGGGCCTCATTTGTAAAGCATGGATTTGTACCTGCCCTGCCTGCTGGGTGTTATGAGGGCAGAAAGAAGTATAGTACAGGAGTGCGCTGCTTACTGCGGCACACATTCATAGTTCTAGGTAGTGAATCTAATAGAATTAGGACCTTAATACTGTCGTATGAAGTGGTATATCACATTTCTTACTTGGTGTACATTATTTTTCATAATAAGTACATGGATGTGACTTTTAACATTTTCTTCTAAATCTGCAGTAAACAAGAAAAGCCAATTAAACAGCAACTGTATTCACTAAAATGTTGATTGATGTTTTACTGTGTTTAATGTAATCATAGCATTTTAGGGCCAAAAGGGGCCTTAATGATCACCTCATCCATTTTTACAGGCAAAGAAGCAGATTCAGGTTGCTGAAAGGTAAGAAGGTCAAACCTTTAGAAATAGACTTCCTGAACGAGTCCATGGCAGCAAAACAAAAAACTCAGTGTTTATGAATCCGTTCTGAGATGTTAAGGACATGGACAGCTATCTAAAGTGGAAACTCAGCCGACACCATACCACCCTCCTCTCTAGCCTCCAAACTGAGAGCTTAGGGGCTTGATGGGCCCTAGCCATTTCAAGTTTGCTTGTCATTACCTTGCTTTTCCCACTCCCTCTTCCCTGCCAGATTTCAACATCAAGAAGTCACTTTACATCACAGCAGTCATTAAGGAGTCGAGTTGCAGGGTTACAGTCTGCATCCCAGTTCCAGCCATCCACCTCACCATTGCCTGCACGGCTCTCAAAGGCAGCATGGAGGGTGCCGTCAGCAAGCCCAATCACGTAAATCGGGGAAACCATGCCGATAACAGGCAAGGTGTGTCGGGCTCACCAATTAGCAGTGGCAACTCTCTGTGAGAGGCCAATTCAATCACCTGAACTCCCTTCTGCACCCTCAAATCCCGCCTCTTAGCTGACATCAGGATGCTGATGGCCTTTGTGCGTTGCCAGGTGAGCACGCAGGAGCCCTCAAGGCCAAAGAGGCAGTATATCTGTTGAGAAGGCTGGCGTCGGGGTGGCTCACCACAGCCACTGTCTCCTGAGAGTGGACAAGTCACTCTAAGACTCCTTCCTCCTCTGTCCAATAATGGCCTTGGATTGGACAAGGCCATTGGCTACATTTCTTTCTAGGCTTTTCTGGAAGTGGGGATTATATACATGCTTGTGTTGGAGGTTTTATTTTAACTAAGGAAGCTAAATGCCGACAGAGGATTGTTTGCAAAAGGAAGATAATTTTATTTTTTAGTATAAAAATAATTCATGCTTAGTATAAAAAATTACAACAGTGCACAAGTGTATAAATCAGAAGGTAAAACCTCTTCCCTTAACTCCCGCAACCAGCACTCAGCACTCAGGCTAACTGTTCTCACCTGTCCCCTGCACAGGCCTCAGGCTCCCATTAGCCATCTTTCTTGAGAGCGGTTAAGACTCTAAATCTTTATTTTAACTGTTCTAACAATTGGTTAAATAGAAAAGTAACATATATAGAAATCTTTTCTTCCTTCTAAAAAGTCCAAATTCAGATCTTTTAGCCCAACGTACAAATCCACATAAAGACATTAAATTCCAATACTTAGTAAGAGTGGAGTTCAAATCTCACTCGGCTTCTTCACAGGTATGTCTCTGTAGACATTACTTATAATACTATTAGAGTAATATAAAAATTGTAAAAGACAAAAAATACATTAAAATGTTTTTATGAGTTTATTTTTTTATTTTTGTTTTTTAATTTTTTTTATTGCCGAATATTACAGGGGTACAAATGTTTTGGTTACATGGATTGCTTTTGTGCTGCTTAAGTCAAAGTTATAAGTGTTCCCATCACCCAGATAGTGTACATTGTACCCGTTAGGTATGATTTCACCCATCCCTTCCATCCCCCTCCCACCTGCATGATTTCTGTTGAGTTTTACTTCCATCTGTGCACATGAGTGCTGATTGGTTAGTTCCAATTTAATAGTACAAGTGGTGTTTGTTTTTCCATTCTTGCGATGTTTCACTTAGGAAGATAGTCTCCATCCAGATTGTTGCAAAAGGCATTAATTCATTTTTTATGGCTGAGTAGTACTCCAGGGTGTATATACACCACATTTTATTTTCTTAATACACTCATGAATTGATGGGCACTTGGGCTGATTCCACATCATTGCAATTGTGACTTGTGCTGCAATAAACACTCTAGTGCAAGCGTCTTTTTGATAAAAGAATATGGAATGCTTCACAAATTTGCGTGTTATCCTTGAGCAGGGGCCATGCTAATCTTCTCTGTGTCGTTCCAATTTTAGTGTATGTGCTGCAAAAGCGAGCACTACGTTAAAGTGTTAAAAGCAATTTTATTAAGATGATTGGATTTGGGGGGATTTTTTTTCTGCTCTTCTTCCTAGACTGGGGTAATATATTTGTGTTACTTGTATTAAGAAAAAAAAAAAGTTTTACAAATGCTACAATAGCTGAACAACCCAAAACTGAACCTTATTAAATTAAATCTTTATTGACGAAACAGCTTTAAAAAATTATTAGTTATTTCTCTGTGGGCTTTTGTTATGAATTTCACTCAGAGAATTAAAGATAAATGAAGAATTACATAATTACAGAAAACTAACTTGTAAAAATCTTGAACACATTGAATGGGTTCATTGCCTCAAATATTGATTGAGCACCCATTGTATGCAAGGCACTGTGAGGGGAGGATGAATGAGTTACCCCCCAGAGCTTGGGGTCTGGTGGGAAAATAAGACAGAAACCCACATAGCCATATGCTAGATGGCCTGCTCCGAGGGTTGTGAGATACAAAATGCTAGGAGTCCAGAGAAGTAAGGAAATGCCCTGAAATGAGAAATCAAGGAAAGCTTCATGCTCTCAGAAAATGGGTAGGATTTTTTGTACTCAAGGAGATTGAAGGGGCTTTTTAAGAGGTACAGAAATGCCAACCACCAGAACATGTCAGGAAGAAGAGTCCAATGTGGCTGGAGCATACAGTGTACATAGGGGAGCGGACAATAAGACTGGCACAGGGGAAAGGGAGGAACTTGAATGCTGGGCCACAAAGGCATAGCTTGTACTATAGTAAGTAGGTGAGGGGTGACTTTGGGGGCTTTTGAGCAGGAAAAGTGATACAAGTAATCAGTGGTGGCTCAGGACAATTCCTTGTCTTTGGCCAAGCTGTGTGTCAGGTAGGGGGTGATAGGGGAAGACAAGGATGGGAAGATGAATCCAGGATGGATGATAAATGGGGCTTGAGCTTGGCAGGTACAATATTTTGTAGCAATAGGCTTAGTAGTGCAGGTGCCTAGGATTTAGTGAGAAGAGTTCAAATCCCACTCTGCCTCTTCACAGCTGTCTCTCTGAAGACGTTTCTTAACTCCCCAAACCTGTCTCATCTACAAAGTGGGCACAGCACCTAAGTCAGGAGGTTGCTGCGTGGCAGGTAATTATTCTTGGAAAGCATTTAGCACAGCTCTGACACATAGTGAACTCAGTAAATGCTAATGTTACTAATTTCAGTTAATTCCACTAACGGGAATTACTCAGCTGGGGTTAAGAGGGAAACAGCTGAGGTGCCTCAGTAGTAAGGGAAGCAGAGCTCTCCGGAGGCAGTACAGTAGCTAGGAACACGGCATCTGGGGGTAGACTGACTGCATTTGGATCCTACCTCTACTACTCCCCAGCTGTGACTTCATCCTTAACCCCTCTCTAGCTTAGTTTCTTTAGCTACAAAGCAGGCTGTGAGAGTAAAGTGAGAGAATACCCGCACAGTGTGTGGTATGTACCTAATAATTGTGAGAGCCCTGTGAATGTTGCCAGGTGAAAGGTAGGATGCAGGGTTGAAGAAAGTTGCCCCTTCCATTTCAGAGGCAGGATATGCAAGCGGGGTGGAGACATGCAGCAGGGGGTTGGACATGAAGGACCAGACCCAGGGAGGACACTCAAGGCTAGAGATATTCAGGATTCCCTGGCACAGAAAAAATTATCGTAGCTCTACAGGGAGATGAGCCAAGAGTGTAGAAATTGGCCCAAAGAAACAATCAGACGAATCCAGAATATAGGACATTCGATAAGACAGCTGGCCTGGATGCTTCAAAAAGTGAGTATCATGGGGAAAAATTTAAGGGGGTTGTTCTAGACTAAAGAGACTGAGAGTCATAACCAAAAGTAATGTATGAACCTTGATTGGGCTTGGTTTAAAAAAAAAAAAGATGTTCTTGAGACAATTACTGAATTTTGATTAAGGATGCTATATTAGAGGCTTTTGATTATATTCCTAGGTACAATAATCATACTATAATCATCTAGAACAATGTCTTTGTTCTTAGGAAATATATGCTGAAATACTTAAGGGTGAAATGTCATTATATACATCCACGCGTGGGGTGAAGGAAAAGTAAATATGGCAAAACCTTAACAATTGTTCAATCTGGGCAGAGGGTATGTATCTGGGTATTCATTGTACTAGTCTTTCAACTTTTTCTGGATACTTGGATTTTATCGATATTAAAAAATGAGAAAAAAGGAGGACAGAGGAAAAGCTGGGAAGCAGTATACATCAGGAAAAAGAATTCTGTGGAGTAAAAGTATGGTCCATCTCCCAGATTAAGCAAAATGAAGGTTGAAAATAAATCATCATATTTGGTCATTAGGAGATTGTGGTGGCTTCAAAAGTGTCCGGTGTAGCATGGAAAGCTGACCAGGAGTGAAGGAGTAAACACTGGGAAGTGTAGGCAGCAGGGACTACCTGACCCTTTTGGGCTGAATCTTTCTTTTCACTACAAGGGAGACGGCATTGCCCAGGGAGAAGAGCCTGGGGAAAGGGAGGGAATGAGACAGAGAGAGGAGGAACACTAATGGAGCAAAGACCCAGTAAATGACGAAGAGGAATGGGATGAAGACATGACAGGAAGATGTGGCCCTTAGGTGGGAGGGAGGCTTTCTCCTTTGGCCCAGAAGCGAGGACTGTGAAGACGTGGGGACGGAACCAGCCTTCCTAGTGACAAGGGGATGAGGTGATGTCTTGCTAGCAAGGAAGCAGATGTCATGACTGAAAGAGGAGAAACGTACACACCTGCCCGTGGGTCTGAACCGAGGGCACGATGGCTGCGGCGAGACGGGGCACCTGGTATTGGCTGGGCAACGTGGGAGGAGGGGAGTAAAACGAGGGGCTCTCCGGGACTGCCCGTGAGGCTCTAGCGATGACGGGTAAAGAGCAGTTACAGAAACTCAAGGTCCCCTTTTCGGAACTTGGTGCTGGGCAGATTATGCATTAGGAAATGAGTCAAGACTCCTTCGGGTCAACAGCTTTATCCGCATTACCATGCACCCTCCACCTTGGGCCGCCTGGGGTATAGGCACACGGGGTGGTAAGTCTTAGGTGTGGAAAGAAGCTTCTGCCCTTTCAGAATCGCCAGGTTCAGGTTCCCATCCCTAAGTGGCCTTGGCACCGGGTGCTCTGGGTTCATGGGACTGCTGGAGCACTCAGGTTTCCCGTGTCCCACCACGTCCCCTGCACGCATGCCCACGGAAGGCCAACCAGGTACTACAGATGACCCCACTGAGGACGCCATTTTTGAATTCTGCTCTGGCCTCCGAAGTGCATCTCACACTGAAGGTCAGCATCGGGTGGAGGCCCCACATTTGGAGCTTCCGAGTCTGCAGGGGCAGCGGGCCTGGATTCTGTGCCAGGGGAGGCTGAGAGGTGCCTGGCCCGCGGCCCACACTTGGAGGAGCGCAGGCGTGGGATGGCGGCAGTGGCCAAACCCCTACAGGAGGACCTTCGTGATGATGCAGCCGTCCCTGTCGCCCTCGGGGTCCTCTTTGAGAGGCGCGGGTGGCGAGGCAGCGGCCCAGCCCAGCGCGCCCTCTCGGCGGCTCACCTCCCGCAGCCGCGCCTGCAGGGCCTCCCGCTCGGCCTGGAGCTCGCGGCGCGCCTGGGCCACGGCGCGCTCCTCCTCCTGCAGCGCCCGCCGCCGCCGCTCCAGGGCGCGCTCGCCCTGCTCCACGGCCGCCTCGCGCCGCTCCAGCTCCCGCTCGCGCCGGCTGCCGCGCACGGCCAGCGCGCCCATCTGCTCCAGCAGGCGCGCCCAGTCGCCCTCGGCGGCCGTGGCAGGGCAGGGCGGCGAGCGACGGGCACCGCTCCCCTCCAGCTCCCGCCGGTGCGCGCTCTTCAGGTGCCTCCACAGCGCCGAGGTCCCCGCGTGGAAGCCCGGGCCGCGGCCCACCTGCTGCCCGCACAGGCGGCACGTGGCCCAGTGGCCCGACGCGTGCCCCGGGCCCGCGGGCGCCAGATGGAAGTACCCCCAGGCCTCGGAGTACAGCGCCCCTAGGCGGCCGGGAGGCGCCGGCGCCAGCCCCGGACTCGGCCCGCGGCTCTCCATGGACCCCGCCAGCTCTTCACTCCGCATTCTGCAGCGCCTGCATACCCACGGGAAGAAGAGGGAGATGATGATTATAGTTACTACACACACCTCCTGTGGCTGCCGTTAGCCTATGAAGAAACCATGCCTCCCTCGATTTGATTACCGATAAAAATCCCATAGTTAGTTTGGGTAGATGTCTGGGTTTCCTTCTTAAAATTCAGTGTTGATTCCTCAGAAAAAAAAAGTAAAAAATGTCTAGCCCTTCCTACACTAGGAATTCTCTTCAAAATCAAGAAGGTCCCAGAGTAACAAGTATTCATACTAGTAGTGGGAGCCTACCCTTCTGGAACAGAAAGAACTAGCTAAATAAGTGCTGTATCTATAGATTCGTTTTAACTAGTCTCCTTCGCTTTCTTTAAAAAAAAAAGTTACCGTGTCTTCCCTTCAGAGTAGGAGCGAGGCTTCCTTCTGTAGTCTTCTCTGCGTGTTGCAGAGCACACTTTCAAAACGAGCAAAAATAAAGCTTTGAGAATGAAGAAAATTTTGTTTCTTAAAAACTAAAGGGACAAAAATGCCTGTGGTGAACAGCCTTTTAAAAAGCTTTTCAATGACTACTTTTTTCAAGATAAAATATCTGTTTTTATCATTATAAAAAACAATCTACTTATGAGAAAATTGGCTGTACTGAAAGCATTAAAATGTTTTAGAAATATGCACATTTAGGAAACAGCAATATACAAAGCAGCATACTCAACTTTTACCTTTAAATTAGATGTTGGGCGTGGCCCAAGGACCTTGGGGGGTCCCTGTCATTGCCTCAAGGTTTCCAACCAACCCAAGTGCCAGGAGTAGAAACCATGCAGCATGACTCCTGAGGTCTGACGGATCATCCAGGGTGCTAGGAGGAAATTCAGAGGACAGGCAGCCTAGTAAAAGAAATTCATTCAAACAGCCTTAAAGATAGATACTAGAAATACTACTAGTGCCATGTCTCTCTGGTGTTCGTTTTTTCTGGCCCTTTTATAGATACCCAAGGCATAAAACAAATAAAATTAGCTTGCTTTATTGCTCATCTGAACATCCCCCTCTACATAGTTGCAAGATACAAAGCTTGCTCAATACTTTTAACTAAGGAAGAAAAATAAATAAAACAAATGTTTTTTTTCCCAACACAATATCCCTTTGTTAAAGGCACCCAAATATAATACGATGACTATCACTGCAAAGTCTTTTCTATTAGGAAAACAACTCACTACTGCAATAACCCATCCCAAAACAGGGAGTATAGCAAAAGGTGAAGTTTATTCTTTAGGAAATAAGTTCACAAAGGACCAAATGTGTGACTCTAGACAAATTTGCTTTCAAAGTGAAAAACAATAAGAAGAGAACACATGACAAACTCCTTGAGCTCTTCTGAGAACTCATCTCCGGGACGAAATCGAGGCCAAGGCCAGGCACAGTGAGATAGCCAATGCTTGCGCGTACTGTCAGGTCTTGAACCCGCAAAAGTGAAGATGATAAAGTTCCAGAATCTGTCTTGTTGAAAACAACTAGGAATGACTCGAGACAAAGATGAGAACAGGAAAAATAAGCTGCTATAACAACACTAGCATTTAGTGTTAAGTGTTTAATTCAATTGCTAATAGTCTTGTTACAACTGTACTACAATTTTCTAAACCCAATCTTTTTCCCACCAAGCAAGTCCACTCAGGATCAGGCATGACATTCAACGTATTTCTCATTTAAAAAAAAGATAACAAATCTACCAGAATCATCCAAAAAGACAAGTATCTTGCCTCTTCTAATAAAAAAAAATGTCTATTTACATATCTTCTGACAGACAGGCATGTATCAGAATAATTATTCATGACAGTTATTCATGATGATTAATTAGTTTAAGAAGTCTTTACAAATTAAAAGCTACATTTCCCCTTAAGAGATTTATTAAATTGCTGAAGTCCCAAAAGTAGAGATAGGTGGGATAAGGAGTTACAAACCACCTTCAAGAGGAACATTTTTATGGTCAGTAAATATTTTGGTTATGTAACATTATAGTTAGTAAACAGAACAAGATTTTCGTCATAGAAACGTTTTGTTTTTCAGACAGTGTCACTCTGGCTGGAGTACAGTGGCATCATCACAGCTCATGGCAACCTCAAACTCCTAGGCTCAAGTGATCCTCCTGCCTCAGCCTCCCGAGTAGCGGGGACTACAGGCATGTGCCACCACATCCAGCTAATTTTTTCTATTTTTGGTAGAGGTGGGGTCTCACTCTTGCTCAGGCTGATCTTGAACTGACCTCAAGCAATCCTCCCACCTCAGCCTCCCAGAGTGCTAGGATTACAGGTGTGAGCCACTGTACCCAGCCAGAAATGTTTTTAATTATCCAACTTTACCTAAATTTTTCCTATACTTTTTTCTTTTTTTAGAATTCCATTTCCTTCTACATTGAAGGTGATCTTCTCACAGTTCCCTTTTTATTACTGGACATAGACAAAAGTGGAGTGACTATGATAATGAATTCTTATGATTGATTTTATAAATCAAAAGAGATTTAAAGTTTTCCTATAATATCACAGACTATTGCTTTGCATCCTGATATGCTTTGTTGAGCTGGGGTTGAAAATTCCACATAATCTGCAGATTCTCGTACCTGTGCCAAGTCTGAGAGTCGTTATTACTGATGTGCCCCTAACAGTGCCGGAGGTGACCCATCACTGCCAAACTTTTTACCTCCCTGAAAGTTGTCTCTGGGTTTCTTTAAAATCTGGAAGGCCCAGAGGAATGTCACACAGGTGAATGCCATCTGTTATGAGTAAAGGTGGGCACAAGGATGAGAAGCACTGATTTTGATGTCTTAATCTTTGTCCCTTGGTGCAAAGCCTCACCTGAGCGAGGGACAAGCAGCAACACAAATGTTGGCCAGCACAGCGCTGCCCCTCTGAGGGTGGCAGAGGGACATCCTCTGCCTGGCCAGCCCTTCACTTTCGGAGGTCTTAACCAGTGGAAGGCAGCACAGTACAGAACTGCCTCACCTTCTCAGTCCTCCACACTCAGCTATATTCTGGCTCAATACAATCTTCTGTTCAGACTCAGTATCTAAAGCGTGGCCACAGGTCATAATGCCTGCCTAGCTCTGCTGAACAAGCCCTGAGCTCATTTCCACTGCCCCTCTGGTGCAGAGGGGAAGATTCAATCATCTTGCTTGGAAGATGCAAAAGTCTGAAGCAAGTCTCTTCAGACTCTTCAGCCACAACCATAACACACAAAGAGCTCTTAAAAACTGGCAAGAAAAAAACAAAAAACAAAAAACAACCCAATGGAAAAATAGACAAGAAATAGGAGTAGGCAAATGATCTAAGAACAAACTCAAATGACCAGGAAATTTGTGAAAAGATGCAAGACATCACTTATATTCAGAGAAATGCTATTAAAGTAAGAATACAATATCATTTTACATCCATCATACTAACAAAAATGAAGAGGTCTAACAGCCAAAGCAAGAAGGAAGGCAGAGAAAAGGGCACATTCATGCATTACTGGTGAAGATGGGATGGCTTTAAGGAAAGCAATCTGGTAATTTCTGTATTAATTAAAAACAGGAGTAACCTGAGATTCCACTCCTGGGGATTTCTTCTGTAGAACTAAAGGCACCAGTACAAATGTCATATGCATTAGGATGTTTATCACAGCATCATTTAGAATGGCAAAAAACTGGAAACGAGGGAATGCCTGCAAGCAGGCGAATGGCTGAATACATGTCCACACCATGGAATATTGTGCAGTCATTAAAAAGGATGGAATGAAGCTCTGTCCGCCGTCCCAGAAGGATTTCTGGAGTAACTGTTCAGGGAGAAAAGCAAGATGTGGAAGAGTGTGTAATATGATCCCACTATTATTAAATAATATACAGATCTGTATAGGAGATATATAGAAATAGATACAGATGAAGAAAAAGAAGGAGATACTATGGTTTGAGGCAATGGTAGCTGATATGAAAGGAGGGAGAAGGGGAAAAGGTAAATACAAAAGCAAAAGAAAAGAGGTATTAAAAGCGTGCATGTGGTCATTTGTATGCATTTAGGTAGAGTGTGTATATTGCAGGATCTATACATAAATAAAAAATAATTTTATAAGACAACCCTTGGCTCCTCAGGCAGGGCCAGCCCAGCATTAACTATGGAGCTGGAGGGGACACTCTCCCAGGGAAGCCCACTGCTGGGCTACTCAGAAATCTACATGCATAGAAGCTGCCATCGGACCCTGGAGGAAACCCAGCGTGTGGGGTTGCTCAGGGTCAGGTGGTTTGCTGTGCCCTGTACAAGCAGGAGATTTTGCACCCACAGGAGAGGAGCTCATCATGTTCATCTCCCCGGCACAGGGGAGACACTTGGGATGCTGCATTAAATGATATGAACCCGATTCTGTTTCTTAGCCCTTGCTCACCTGAGTCTCAATCTCCCCATCTGTCAAGGGAAATAAGAGTATTTGCCTCTATAAACAGGTGGCTGAAGTTAGATAATGCAAATGATCTCAGTTTTGGACTCTGTAGTGCTATATAAAGTCAAGGCAAGAACAAAAAAGAAGCTACAAATATTTACTGTTCAGACATGCTCACATTAAGATTTTAGTGCTAAAAGGCAGTGCTATTTTTCTCTTTGACGTTCTATTAGTCAATAGAGTAGGTTGTCTAAGTTGGAAGGATCCCCTTGGGGATGTTTGAATACAAAATGCAAATTAAAAAGAATCCAAGACCCTAACCCCCCAAATTTCTTTTCATTTCCTGAATTGCTCTTCATGCAAAATAGGCTGCTTACCACACAGGTAAAAGAAGATAATGGGGAAGTTTCATTAGCTGAAGCCCTGTGATACGTATTTCTTCCTTACCAAGTACCCAATACAAATGCGTATCATTAATTGCATGGTTAGCTAAGAAGAAGAAAATGAAAAATAAGAGCTCCCTTAGTTTTTCCTTAAACATTTTCCTGAACTTCCAGAAAGGTGTCAATGAACGTGATTATTTTTCTTACATCCGTTCACTCCAGCTAACTCTTTCATTCGAATGCTCATCGCGCACCTGCTCAGGCACATGCTTGCTGCTGAGCATTCCCAGAGGAGTACCACATAGTCTCGGCCTTCAGTAAGCTCACCGTCTGGTGGGCAAAGCGATGCTTCCAACAGTAATTCTGATAGCCGTGGTAAAAGTCCGATCAGTGTTCACTCATTAGGGTGAATTCCACCCCATGATCTCCACGCTGCGGAAGGGATGGACAGGGGACAGCTCCTTGGTGTTGAGGCCTTGGGGCCCCAACACAAAAGTTCATACCAGTCAGCATCCCTTCCCTTCCCCTCCCACAGGGTTCCACCCCAAAACACATTACCTTTAGTATTTGACTCTATTTTTTTTTTTTTTTTTAAAGAGACAGCGCCTCACTCTGTCACCCATGCTGGAGTGCAGTGGTGACACCATAGCTCACTGTAGCCTCAGACTCCTTGGCTAATGTGATCCTCCTGACTCAACCTCCTGAGTAGCTAGGATTATAGGCGTCATCCACTGTGCCCAGCTTGGTACTTGACTCAAATAAAGTTCCAGTTCTTCAGTTTTATAACTAGGCTTCCAAGCTCCTATTTTAAAATAAGATTTTTTGAAACTAAATAAAAGCACTGCTAGCATGAATTGAAATGAATTTAACAGTGGAAATTTTATAGTCCAATTTCACAAAAAAACTGAAAAAACAAATGCATATTTTAGATATTTCAAGAAAGGGGAAAGAGTAGTATTGTTAGTACCATGCCTCTGAACTCTCCTGTGGCCAAATTATTAATACATTTGAGTATCCATTATCTAGAAGGAGTGATAAGAAGTTTAAGCCTGTGGAAGATAATACATTCGCATTTTCTCACCATTTCTGTCTATTTCTGAAGAAGTTCTTTTCTTCTGATAACCTATCAGATTAAAACCCAGATTCTGCAGTATGATCTTTCTGAATACCAATATAGGGAATAAAGACATCAAAATCTGAATAATAATTTGCATAAATATAGGCATATACACAAAGTATGACTGTAACATTGAAATTCATTCTATAAACTACCCACAAAAGTTAATTTTATTATTTTACGCTTATGCTTATACACATAAAAAATATTAGGCAGGCTAAAGGCCAAAGAACCAGGCAATGTTCTCAAAAGGAAATAACAAATGAATTATTTGTTATTGGTTATCTATTTGTTATCTATTGGTCCTTCCATACTCAAGGCCACTCACTATAGCTGGATTAACCAGGCAGAGCTATTAATATAAACAAGTATGTGTTGGTTGAACGTGGATCTTAGATGAGACATTCACACTAATGTGAAATTCACACAGAGGGGTGTGGAAACACTAAAAACATGTTCATGTACTTCATCCACCAATCACTTTAATAATTAAAACAACTGAAGTGTCAAGGAAACCACAATTCATTCTTCTGTTGTCTATCTCTGTTAAAGTGTTAATTTACTGCCACATATTAATCTATTTATAAAGAGATCCAGAGAATTAGAAAAATTAGTTTGGAATCACCAGGCTGAAGGTTTAGATGAAATTAAAAGGCAAGTAACAATGCCTCCAAACTGTAAAATGTGGATACCTGAGTTCGGGAATAAAGGGTTAAGTGTGAAAAATCTCAGAAAAAGGTTATTTATGGACTATAAAAAATGTACTGAACTCACAGAATT